ATTGGTTTTAATTCAGTTGTATGAATATCTAATTGTACAATTTCTTTAAAATACCACCCACTACCATTTTGTTGATAAATAGCTATTTTTTCACTAATCTCTTTATAACTATTACTTAATATATCTTCTTCATCAGTTGATTTAAAATTATTAAAAGTACTAGAATTAAAATATGATTTATCTTGAATATAAAAATATTTATTACTATCTTTCGATTTTTTTTCTTTTTTTTCCATCATACAAACTAAAACAAACCTTAATTTAGTATTGCGATGATTTCTAATAAATTTTTTAATAGTATGATAATAATAATTAAAAAACTGATAAGGTAAATAACCTGGTTTCCCTTTTATAATATATTTTTTAGCAAATTCGTTTAAAGCTGATTTCTCAACTTCAATTCCTTCTTCATACTCTTTTATAGCTCTCTCAAGAGCTTTTCGTAAATAGTCTGGAGTATCTTTAGGAATTTTTCTATTTTTTATACATTCCTCAAAATAATCCTCAAATGATTTTATCTTTTTGGTAACCACTTTAGACTTAATCTTTTTTGGTTTAACCACTTTAGACTTAATCTTTTTTGGTTTAACTTTTGGTTTAATTTTACCTTGTTTAATTTTATTTCCAATCTCTCTCACTTTTTTTATTTTTTCAATCACTTTCATCTTTTCTTCCAATTCCTTATAATCTTTCTTAACTTCTTGTTTGTCTTGTGATAAAATTTTTTTTAATTCGTCCAAAGACAAACTCATAAGTTGATTATTTGTAGATGATTGATGAGACATATCTTATATAATTATTATTTTATTTTTAAGTATTAAATCAAATTTATTTTTTCTGATTCACTTATTTATTTCTATCTCATCTATCAATATTAACAAATACTTTATTACAGTGTAGTATAGTAAATGTTGACATCTCCATCACTCACTTTTATTTCTAACTCTTCGAGCAAAAGAGCGACTACTTGTTAAATAACTTTTTTCTAACTCTTCGAACAAAGAGCGACTACTTGAGAACGAATGAAATGAGTGAGCGAAGCGAACGAATGAAATGAGTGAACAAGAGGAGCGACTTTGTGAGATGAGTTAGAAAAAAGTTATTTAACAAGAGGAGCGATTTTGTGAGATGAGTTAGAAATAAAAGTGAGTGAGGGAGATGGCAACATTTACTATACTACTTGCTCCCCCCACTAACGTCAAAGGAAACAATGTAACCTCTACAAGCATTTTTGTACAGTGGGATGAAGTTCCAGCAGACAATAAAAATGGTATTGTAGTGAATTATACAGTCACCTACGCAGAGTTACCTTCTGGTGATTCCGGAAAGGAGATAGTGATTGCTCCAAGAACAAATGCTACATTGACAGGATTGCAAAAATTTACCAACTACAGCATCACAGTGTTTGCATCTACTTCCAAAGGGGGTGGAAACAAGAGTGAGCCTATTATTGTCATTACAGATGAAGACCGTAAGTACCGTCAGTTCTGAAATTACTCAGTCGGTTGTTATGTACTCATTTGGAATCTCTAGGGTCTAAAATGTAAATCCACACTTTAAAAAGTCTTTTTATTCCTTAAGAAATTGGAAAAAAGTTTATTCTGAAACAGAAAACATGGTTCTCTCTAACTTTGAAATTGTTTATTAGAGCCTGATGGTGCACCACAGAATGTGAGAGGACATAACACCAGTTCAACCAGCATTTCAGTATCGTGGGAAGCAGTGCAAGCTGATCTTCAGAATGGTATCATTACTGGTTACAATATAACGTACCAGTCACTGACAGAGAATGACAATGGATTTGTACTAACTGGTCCTGATGATCGTCAGGCCAACCTAACAGGACTGAAGGAGTTTGTTGACTACAATATTTCAGTGGTTGCATTTACAGTTAAGGGAGATGGACCGCCCTTTGTTCTTGTTGTTAGAACAGATCAAGATAGTAAGTAAACCTATGTTTTCCTGATGTGTCTGCCGGCATATGTATTCGAACGGCGGCACGGATAAGATTCAGCACTGACATTTTGCCTTAGGACGTTTTTATGCAACCGTCGTTAAAATTTACTGCTTAATCATTCACCCGGTTAAACATAGAAATGGATAGCGAATACAGAATAGTTTTATAATTTTTGAACAACATATCAACCCAGCGTATATGGTACACCTTATACACCTGTTAAATGCTGACTACAGCTTGTCGGAATGGTAAGCTGTAAAACTTACTTTCTTTGCATCATGACAACCATATTTCTTGATATGAAAATATATTCTAATTTGGCCCAAGAACAAGCAGATTAGCGTTCCATTCTAACGTTACTTTCCTGGCATCGAACGTTTCGAATTTAACTTTTATCTTCATAGCCTTAGAGTTGTCTAATCAATATTTATACTTGGTAATGGTTTTATTTGTTCTTCATTTATTTACCAACACCAACCTTTTATACGTAAAATTACATCATAACATTTACTTCTTTAGTTTAAGATAAATTTTCAGTGATACTATTGAATTACGATACAAGACACGTTAACCTTGAACTACGATACAGTTTGATTTAAACAACAGTTACATAAAATACGTGTTATAAAAGGAGCAAAATATAAATAGTAAGTTGCACATGCACTTATCTTTTTTTTTTTATCCTTAGGACCCCATGCTCCCCCTCAAAATATACGAGCAAACAGCACAACTTCCACCAGTATCTTTGTAGAATGGGATGATGTTCCTTCTGAGGACCAAAATGGTATTATCAGGAACTATACTGTCAGATATCGGGCAGTCGGTGCGCTGGGACCCTTTGATACTACGAAGGTTTTTACAAAAGAAGCGAATCTAACAGGCCTGATAAAGGATGAGTCTTACAACGTCAGTGTTTTAGCGACTACAGACAAGGGAAATGGACCTTACAGCGTCCCGATAATACTTACTACAAATGAAAACAGTGAGTATTTCTAAACGTTTATTAGGAATAGCACAATAAATACCGTCGCGGCTTTGTTTTTTTGCGAGCACGATCCCTTCGACAACGGGAAGTATTTGAAAACCAATTGCGTCATCCACTGGATAAGACAGTTATAGCATCATACATCGTCTGAACAAAGTTTTGGCGTGTGGCTTTTTGTCTCATCCGAAAACGTGGGTTTCACAAAAACCGAATCTAATATTTTTTTTTATTACACATTGTTGTGACAAATTGTTTTATTATACATTGATTTGACCAAAAAAAAAACCCTTCGCAAGGAACCTGAATAAATATAATTGTTATTAGAAATCATTCATTGCGCGCGCAACCTACAGATTAGTAGGTTATCTGCAGATAACTAACTTATCTGGGCCCAGTTGTTCGAAGGCCGATTAGTTCTTAACACGGGGTTAAATTTAACCCGGGTTTCTTTTTCTGGTGTTCAAAACCATTTTCTCAGTTATTTTTAGAGCTTCCAATCATCAACTTGTAGACAAAAAGAATTAAAATTGAAATGCTTTTTAAACTTTCATATCTGAATTCAAATCTTGCACATACCCTGGGCTATCTTAACCCAGCTATGAACAACTCGGCCCTGTAGGTTGCGCTGATTTCCAAAATTAGCGGTAGGCTCTTAGCCAATGAGAAGACAGATACTGGGTAAAATGTATAGTAATTTGTATTATTGGGTCTGAGCGCCATTTTAAATTCGGTTCAACAGGTGGCATTCACTGTTCGACTTACGAGGTCATGCGCTCTCCTGGCTTTAATCTTACCTAGAGGGAAGAGTGCAGCGTATTTTTGTTAACGGCAGTACCTTAAACAGATTTGCTTTAGAATATGGCGTTAAACGAGGTTCATGCTTAGGCCCGCTATTTTTTACGATCTATACTAGCAAGCTGTTTGAGATCCTGCATTTGCACCTCCCTGCGCATGCCTATGCCGATGACATTCAGCTGTATGTGTCATTCATACTATCTGACAGTTTGAACAAACTCGAAGCCGTGACTGCGCTGGAGAACTGCATTTTTGATGTGTGTNTACATTGATTTGACCAAAAAAAAAACCCTTCGCAAGGAACCTGAATAAATATAATTGTTATTAGAAATCATTCATTGCGCGCGCAACCTACAGATTAGTAGGTTATCTGCAGATAACTAACTTATCTGGGCCCAGTTGTTCGAAGGCCGATTAGTTCTTAACACGGGGTTAAATTTAACCCGGGTTTCTTTTTCTGGTGTTCAAAACCATTTTCTCAGTTATTTTTAGAGCTTCCAATCATCAACTTGTAGACAAAAAGAATTAAAATTGAAATGCTTTTTAAACTTTCATATCTGAATTCAAATCTTGCACATACCCTGGGCTATCTTAACCCAGCTATGAACAACTCGGCCCTGTAGGTTGCGCTGATTTCCAAAATTAGCGGTAGGCTCTTAGCCAATGAGAAGACAGATACTGGGTAAAATGTATAGTAATTTGTATTATTGGGTCTGAGCGCCATTTTAAATTCGGTTCAACAGGTGGCATTCACTGTTCGACTTACGAGGTCATGCGCTCTCCTGGCTTTAATCTTACCTAGAGGGAAGAGTGCAGCGTATTTTTGTTAACGGCAGTACCTTAAACAGATTTGCTTTAGAATATGGCGTTAAACGAGGTTCATGCTTAGGCCCGCTATTTTTTACGATCTATACTAGCAAGCTGTTTGAGATCCTGCATTTGCACCTCCCTGCGCATGCCTATGCCGATGACATTCAGCTGTATGTGTCATTCATACTATCTGACAGTTTGAACAAACTCGAAGCCGTGACTGCGCTGGAGAACTGCATTTTTGATGTGTGTGCCTGGATGAGAGGGGATATGCTGTGGTTAAATGCTGAGAAGACGGAGTTTCTATTGGTTAGCAGTCGACAACAGCTGGCTAAGGTGCCTATAAACGGCATCAAGGTTGGTTAAGTTGATTTGGCTCCTGTCTCGTCCGCGAGGAATCTGGGTGCTTGGTTCGACTTCCACCTGGCTAGCGAATTCTACTATGTATCTCTATAACATTCGTCATATCAGGAAGTTCCAGGCTGGGTCATGCCTTCATCAAAGGTCGATTAGACTGCTGTAAACAGCCTGCTTTACAGCGTTCACGATTTTCGAAATTTGGACACTCCAGTGCGTAATGAACGCAAGTGCCAGGCTTATTTACTGCGCGCCTAAGTTTTGTCATATCACCCCAATACTAAAGTCTTTTTCGCAATCATTACGAAGTGGGAAACATTTTGTTTTGAAACAAACAAGATACTGTTTTCTCTTACTTTGAACTTGTTTTTCAGAGCCTGCTGGCGCACCACAGAATGTGAGAGGACATAACACCAGTTCAACCAGCATTTCAGTATCGTGGGACGAAGTGCAAGCTGAGCTACGGAATGGTATCATAACTGGTTACGCTATATTGTACAAGTCACTGACAGAAAATGACAATGGCATTGTACCAGCTGGCCCTAACGATCGTCAGGCCAACCTAACAGGGCTAAAGGAGTTTGTTGATTACAATATTTCAGTGGTTGCATTTACAGTTAAAGGAGATGGACCGCCCTCTGTTATTGTTGTTAGAACAGATCAAGATAGTAAGTAAACTATGTTTTCTTGACGTGTCTGCGCGGCATATAATAGAGTACAATAATTTACTTAAAAAGGCAGGAACTGCAAACCTTAAGGACAAGCGTTTACAAAACATGATTCTCACTATTTTTAAATGTCTTCATTTTTCTGATTATCCAAGATATTTAAAAGATATGTTTCGTTTACGCTCTAGCACCTATTTTTTAAGAGGACATAATATGCTCTGTTTGCCCAAACCATCGACCACTTCTTATGGTATCAATTCCTTTAGTTACTTGGCAGCAACATCTTGGAATTCTCTCCCTGACCATTACCGCACTATTTCTGATTTTACTTCTTTTCGACGACTGATATCTACTGGGAACAATAATTTACTTAAAAGGGCAGGAACTGCAAACCTTTCTACATCATGATAATTTGCAAGTTAGTTGTCTAGGTAGTTAGTTATCTTTTTTGCTATATAGAATTAACTTTTTATTATAATTATTTATTAATGTAGTTGGCTCGAAGATATTAGCACTTGAGTGCTACACTGTAAATTCGAGGGTAAATAAAGTTTATTGATTGATTGATTGATTGAGTGATGTATTCGAACGGCGGCTGGTAAGTGCCAGCTAGCAATGACATTTTATCTGAGGACATTTTATCGCAACCGCTGTTAAATTTTACTTCTTAATCATTCACCTGGTTAGACATAGAAATGCGCGGCAAATACGAAATAGTTTTCTAATTCTTGAACAGCATACAACATACGTACATAGTGCACCTGGTAAATGCTGACTACAGTTTGTCCGAATGGTAAGCTGTAAGACTTACCTTTCTTTGCACCATGACAACCACATTTTTCAATATGAAAAGAACGGACAAAAGGAAAAATATATTTTGATTTGGCCCAAGAACAAGCAGATTAGCGTTCCATTCTTACGTTACTTTTAACTTTTATCTTCTTAGCCTTAGCATTGTCTCATCAATATTTATACTTGGCAATGGTTTTATTTATTTTTTAAGCAATTCATTCTTTCTTTCTTTCTTTCTTTATTAATTTACACCACCATTTCATACGTAAACTCGCATCATTACATCTAGTTAAAGACAAATTTAAAGTGATACTAATTGAATTACGATACAAGATACCTTAACCTTCAACTACAATACAGCTGTTTGAGTTAAACAACAACAGTTACATAAAATACGTGCTATAAAAAGAGCAAAATTTAAGTAGTGAGTTGTACATGCACTTATTAATTTTTTATATATCCTTATGAGGACCCCATGCTCCTCCTCAAAATGTATCAGAAAACAGCACAACTCCCACCAGTATCTTTGTAAAATGGAATGGTGTTCCTTCTGAGGACCAAAATGGCATCATAAGAAGCTATACTGTCAGGTATCGGGCAGTCGGTGCGCTGGGACCCTTTGATACTACGAAGGTTTTTACAAAAGAGGCGAATCTAACAGGCCTGATAAAGGATGAGTCTTACAACGTCAGTGTTTTAGTGACTACAGACAAGGGAAATGGACCTTACAGCGATCCGGAAATATTTATTACAAATGAAGACCGTAAGTATTTTCACGCTGTGAAAGGTTTGAACCCGGGTGTCATTTTATAAGGTGTCACAGTATGATCGTCCGGGTGAACGTAGTCCTGATTAGGACTCTTGTTGTTGATAGTGACTGACGTTTCGACAACCTGTGCGGTTGTCATCTTGACTTCTGAGGACCAAAATGGTATTATAAGAAACTATACGGTTAGGTATCGAGCAGTCAGTGCGGAAGGACCTCTTAATACTTCACCAGTTATTCGAAAAGAGGCCTGATAAAGGGTGAGTCTTACAACGTCAGTGTTTTAGTGACTACAGACAAGGGAAATGGAACTTACAGCGTCCTGACAATACTTACTACAAATGAAAACAGTGAGTATTTCGAAACTTTTATTTGGTATAGCAAAACAAATACTGTCGCGGCCTTGTTTTTTTTTGCGAGCACGATCCCTTCGACAACGGGAAGTATTCGAAAAACCAATTATTGCGTCATCCCCTGGATAGACAGTTATAGTGTATAGCATCATCCACCGTTTTGGGTGGCTTTTTGTCTCATCCGAAAATGTCAGCAACCTTGATAGGTCCGGTCGAAATTTCAAGGATATGGAGAAGCTGTACTTTCAGAAGAACATTATAGGGGACGTTTTGTCTGTACACCGAAATTTGCAATGATCGCAATATCTTGGTGATAAAATGTGAAAAACACAACCTCCGAACTAGGTAAAAATAACAAACACAAAAACAAAAAAAAAAACCCGAACGGCTATCCAAAATTTTTGTTCTCTTGTTGTTCTTCTCTTCCCTCCCTGGGGCAACAACCCATTTTCTTTTAAAATAAATCCTTTCATTCACTTGATTTTTTTGCAAGCAGGGACAATTTATGAACTTACACAATCACTAGCCAATATGTTTATCTTTACTTTTGCAGTTCCTGGTGCCGCTCCTTCCAATGTCAGAGCGAACTTCACAAGCTCAACTTCAATTTTAGTGAAGTGGGATGAAGTTCCTAAAGACAAGCGGCATGGCAGAATACGGTACTACACTGTCATTTGGAAGAGGGCACAAGGCGCAGATCCACCGGAAACAAGGACTGTTGATGCTCCCATGAAGCAATTTGAGTTGACATATCTCGCTAAGTATGCTGAATACAGTATACAAGTATTAGCGGCTTCGAGAATAGGCAAAGGACCACCCAGCATCCCAATCGTACAAAGAACAGACGAAGACAGTAAGTAAAGAGGAATAAGTTGTTTAGAATGATTTGTATTAAAAACCACGGTAGGTTTCATAGTCTGGCGAACACCGAGCCTGGTATAAAAAAATGGGAACGACAGAAAAAATCGGAAGGCCTTAACAAAATGTATGCGTCTTAGAACGAAAACGCATTAGCGTGGACTAGGCCTTAAGGTCCCTATTTTGCTAAAGGGAGACTGTAGGCGTCTTGGACAAAGTCTCTTTATTTAGGTGACGCCTAATGGACCACACCCAAAATTTGCTCCTTAATTTTGTTGTTGTTTAATTTACAGTACCAAACGCTCCTCCGAGTAAGATTCAAGGATACATCCTAAACGCTACTAATATTTTGGTGCAGTGGGGAATTGTTCCTCTTCCTGATCAAAATGGCATTATACTGAGTTACACCGTTACCTATCAAGCGCTTCCTGATGGCAGTCCACGGAGAAAGGTAGTGAATACTCCGAAAACTGAAGCAAAACTGACAGGACTCAATCCAAACACCAACTACAGCATCACAGTGTTTGCGTCTACTGTCAAAGGAGATGGGAGTGTTAGTACGCCTATCGTCGTTTCAACGGATCTAAATCGTAAGTTTACGTACACTCTCTTTCTGCTTCAATTCATTTATAAAGTCATTTCCGACTAAGCTTTTCTGTCTTCTTCTCTCACAAACATCTTCGATATCGATCATAAAAATGGACGTTCGCTGCAAAACGTTACAATTGATAATTGTGATCGTGTTGCAAAGATTGTCATGTGGCCATAAAATTAGACTTGGATACAAATATTACATTTAAGGATTCTGTATTTGTTGCCATAGTCTATCAGCATACGATTAGAATTTCGCTGCAAAACTTCTCGAATAATTTGGGCTCCGTTTGCAGTGATTCTTTTTTATCATAAAGTATTAAAGACAGTCGCTACAAAAAGTGAGAATTGAACGTTTTGTAGCCACTGGTTGCTATGGAGACAAATCTGCAAATCTGATCCTCAAGTGAATATTGAGGATCTTTGCAGTGAGACAAATCCGGACTTTGCTACGAAACTGCAATTGCAGTGATCCTCTGCTGTCATGGGGTTAGAATTTTACTGCAAAACTCCAGTATTTAGAGACTGTTTCAGTAACTTCCTGTTGTAGTAAACTTAGGAAATTAATGCTGCAAAACTTTGCCATAAAAATTGCAAACCTTTGCAGTCATTGTTTGTCAGCACAGCTTATAATTTCTCTGTAAAATTTCTAAGTATTTGTGCCGAGATTGTTTTGTTCAACGTTTTGAGTAATTACCTAACTGTTTTGTTATTAAGAGCTTTTAGCCACAGGGTTTCCAAAGTGGACGGAGCTGTAGTTTTCTATAAAGCGTTTTCGGTTCGACAATGGGTCCAGAGTCTGACCTAGCGAAAAGGTAAGAAATATGATGAAAAGGTATGTATGTCTATTAATTACACAAAAAAACCTGAAGGCCTAATTTCTTGACGTCCGGCAGGTGGTAAACGTTTATAAACAACATGGGCGGTAGTGATATGTTGACAAACCAGAAAGCCTGCTGTTTTATTGGAAGAGATATTAGGGCCATTTATACGAGGAAAAATAAGACGCGTCTTTCATTAGACGCGTCCTAAATAAGACGCAAACTTTCCCGTATAAACGGCACATTA